ACATGACTGGCCGCACAGAGTCCTGACCTCAACCCCATAGAACACCTTTGGGATGAATTAGATCGGAGACTGCGAGCCCGGCCTTCTCCTCCAACATCAGTACCTGACCTCACAAATGGTCCAACATTCCCATAGACACACTCCTAAACCTTGTGGACGCCTTCCCAGAAGAGTTGAAGCTGTTATAGTGGCAAAGGGCGGAGCCAACCCAATACTGAACCCTACGGACTAAGACTGGGATGCCATTAAAGTTCATGTGCGTGTAAAGGTGTCCCAATACTTTTGGCAATATACTGTATATCACTATGTAACTATGACAGAATTGTGTTTTCCATGTCATAGGATACACAATGGGTTACGGTTTGTTAGTGACGCAGAGAAGATCGCTGGACATATTGTATATTATTATAGATCAGAATATATTATCTTATCCATATAGGAGGAAAACAATCCGACAATCGCGTTCTTAATAAAGGAGACGGAATGCCTGAAATCTGAAGATATCAACTTGGAGGAATGTGACTACAAGAAGGACGGGGTGAGGACATACAGCAACGTAGACATTTTATAGGATAACTCCGGCCACTACTTATGTTTGCTTTGCTTTTAATACAATAGGGAAGAGTTTCATTGTTGGTGTCACTGAAAACTGCCGGTTTATAAACTGGATACATCCTAAATATAGAGCCATTTATCCAACTGTCCATCCAGAGACGTCGGTTTATAGATCAGATGTATTCCAAATATTGAGCCATTGGGGTGGAATCTGGGGGCCCTCTTCGTTCTTAAAGGGGGTTTCCAGATTTCGATTAGGCCCCCCACAACCACCAGGCCAGGGCTGTGGGGAAGAGGACTTTGTCCCCCTCAACAAGGGTACACAGTGTTTTGCCAGGGGGTGCCCCCATGTTGAGGGCATGTGGCTTGGTAGGATACAGGAGAGGAAGGACTGCACACTTGGCTAACCCCACGCTTCCTTTTCTGGCCTGCCAGGCTGAAAGCTCGAATAAGGGTCTGGTAATGGATTTTGGGAGGAGGAACCCAGATAAATTTTGACTTCACTTTCGCCTGTAATTGCCGCATTAGCAACTTAGAAAGAAACCGGAAGGCCATTGTATTTCGCTCATGTTAGCTTTCCTTTAAGATGGAATATTTGCATTTGATTTTCCAGGAGGTGAAGGTCTGTGGATTGTACCCGGAGGAGAGGGAGACCTCAAAGACTCTGAAATGTGTCGGCCTGACCAAGGTAACGCCGACCACCAGTCAGGATTATTCATATCTTATGTTATGATGTCATATCTTCTCTGTCATTTCTTATGAAACAGACAGGTCCCCTTTAAGCGTGGGGAAGGGAGTATGCATATAAAATGTCCTCCACATGGTCCCAACAGTCCCTGACATGCAGAAAAATTCAACCATGTAGCACTCCTGTGTGGTTCCGCTGCCTCCTCTGCACCTCACTGCAGCTCAAATAGATGAAACTTGGCATCCATTGCTCCCCTGTGATCTCTTCTTCAGCCACTTTGCAGAATATTTTTAGTTCATTATTATTATTATCATTATTATTATCATACAGGATAGTTCGTTATATTATTTACCACTCAATTCTGCAATCGCTTATTGCATTTTTTTGGGGTGAATCTTGAGATATTCTTTAAATAAAACTTGTCACCATGCATAGAAATTATTATTTTTTCACTTCCATTGTGACTGTGAACTTGCTAGAAAATCTGAATACTGGAGGAAGAGTCAGTTCCTTAGCCCAGCCCCCTCTCTCCGTGCACTTCATAGCATTCTCCTCTTCTGGGGGGTGCCTAATTACTGTCTATGCTGGCCCAACTCTTCCACCCCTCCCCTCCCTATATAACCATCTATTACTACTATAGAGTGTCACTAGAGTCTGCTGGAGCTGCTGGTATCACATCCAAAATGGCGGGGTAGGCCATTCTGGGTAGGCTACCCTCCCCCACTGGGTAAATGACAATGATATGAATAATGAACCGGAACATTTGCATAGATTTCATGTAAATAAAACCAGCGTGTGATCCCTTCCATATTTCTTTCAGAATTCTCGCACCAAGCGAGCCGGAGGTAAGAAGGAGTGCAAAGATTATTACTGTAGACTGCTCACGAAACTTGGATCCCGCGGCCACATCTCAGGCGTCGATCTCTGATCATCGCATGTCGCTCAGCAGTAACGCACGCTTGAAGGGGCATTCCACCTGAAACTTTCTTGTAGCTCCTTTGTCAGATACGATGCTTTATGTTTCGCTACAATTCAGCTGAAAAGTTCTGTACATTGTATCACATGACGCAAATAAAATGAAAGCTTTGGCCTCTGAACTGTTTTGTTATTGACATCGGGGATATGGTCAACCAGAGGGAGCGGCCGCACTCCGACGGCATCAGCGTTCAATAAAACACAGAAGATCCGCCCAGACCCTCCTCACACTGATGCGTTTCATCGGTACGGCGAAGCCTTTTCCAGGTGAAATGCGTCAGTGGGGAGGGTCTGGTTGTTCTTAGGCAAAATGTTTTACCCATCCCCCCCTTTAAGAGTGATCACCCTTTTGGCATGACTGCTGGCTCTTATTTTTAGCTATTGATTCCCACTGAGCATTGGCAGTTGCTCCCGATCATGTGATCACTAAGCTATGTTATCACATGCAGTGGGGAGGCTTCACTGAAAAAGTGAGAGCCCCCAGATAAACACCTTCAGCCTGCAGCGCCATCTGTTCAACACTGTAATTGTCAGATACAATCAGGGCTGGATTTACTCTCTGCTGCCCCAAGGCCAGATTCCTCAATGCGCCCCCCTACCTGCCAAACCCCCCCATGGAGAATGGCAACCAGATGGTTGGGGCAGCAGGGTTGGTTTACATTTTTTTTTGTATTTTTTCCTTATTTTTTTACTTTTTTATCACTTTTTAAATTTAAACAATTTTTTTTTTTACTTTTTTTAAACTTGTATGTATCTTATCTTTACATTTTTAGAATTTCTTTATTAATTTGTAAAATGTTATAATTGTTTACATTTTTATCATTATTTTTTAACCATTTTAAATGTAATTATTATTTCTTATTATTTTTTTTACATTTTTTAGAAATTTCTATTTAATTTATTTTTTACCTGTTATTCTATTTTTTGTTTTTTATTTTACTTTATTGCTAACTAGCCCCTGTGTGATGGCATTTGTACTGTGCTGGAACTCCTGTGACAGCTGAGATGGGAAGGCTGCGAGTGCAGCTCTCCCCTCTCACTGTTTACACGGAGCAGAGCGGAGAATGGACGTTCTCCGCTCTGCTCCCTGCTCTCCATCATGAGCTACCTTGCCTTGGTCACGGGTCCCCCAGCAAAGTGGGGGACCTTGAAAACCATGGCGAGAGGGAGGCGGCCAGCGGAGAGAAAGGCAGCCGGAGATGGGTGCGGACCATGAAGGGGGGGAACGGACCTGCAGTATCATTACAAATGATTTCTGTGGCATCGCCGAGATCACTTGTACAAAGCAAGTGGTGGCTTCCCCGCGCTACATTTAGCCCTGCTTGCCCGAAGCAGGGCTAAATGTAGAAAAAAAAAATATTCGCCTGGTGGCTGTGCTGCCCCTCTACTCCCTGCTGCCCGAGGCCAAGCCTCAGTGGCCTTGTGGGAAATCCGGCCCTGGGTACAATAACAGTTTTGAAAAATAATAAATTAAATTGTTTGTAAAACCAAAATCAAAGTTTCTGTATGTTTGGGGCCATGACTCACTGTATACAATTCTCTCAAGCAAATCTTATTGTGGATCTGTTTGCAAAGTTTCTTCCCTGGAGATCCTGCCAGTAACAGCACTTACTTAAGGCCTCATTCACACTGATAGGAACCGGCCCGTACAGATTCGTGTGGGGTGCACGGCCGTATCGGGCCGCTCCCGGGAAGGACAGGTGCTGCATGTGATTTGTACGCAGCAGCCTGTTCTTCTCTATGGGAGCATGCCGCCGTAAGCTCACCCGAACTGAACATCCGTGCGAGTGTCCGTACTCGTACGCAGATAGGATGGATCTTGTCCTGTCTGCGTCCGAGCACGGACACCCGCAGTTCGGGTGAGTGTATGGCTGACATTGCTAAGCCGCTGCCGCACAATTTGCTGCAGTGTTGTCAGCCCGCCTTGTGAATCCTGCAGACCTGATTGGCACCCAATGGCCAACTAAAGAAGCTCCCACAGCAGGCTGACAACGTTGCTGCTAATTGTGATATTTGAGATCTTTCGATGTTTGAGGGGGTGTCACCGCAGCACCCTTCATTCATAATGTATTGACGTCATCATGTTAGTGCGCTCTCTGCATCTCTGAGGACTGCCCACTAATGGAGGAGATCAGGA